GAGCAATAGTAACAAAAACAGCATGGTACTGGTACCAAAACAGGCGTGTGGACCAATGGTACAGAATAGAGGACACAGAAACCAATCCACAAAACTACAACTATCTTATATTTGATAAAGGGGCTAAAAGCATGCAATGGAGGAAGGATAGCATCTTCAACAAATGGTGCTGGGAAAACTGGAAATCCTTATGCAACAAAATGAAACTGAATCCCTTTCTCTCGCCATGCACAAAAGTGAATTCAAAATGGATCAAGGAACTTGATATCAAATCAGAGACGCGCCGTCTGATAGAAGAAAAAGTTGGCTACGATCTACAGTCGGTGGGGTCGGGCTCCAAATTCCTCAATAGGACACCCATAGCACAAAAGTTAATAACTAGAATCAACAAATGGGACTTACTCAAACTAAGAAGTTTTTTCTCAGCAAAAGAAACAATAAGAGAGGTAAATAGGGAGCCTACATCCTGGGAACAAATCTTTACTCCTCACACTTCAGATAGAGCCCTAATATCCAGAGTATACAAAGAACTCAAAAAATTAGATAATAAGAGAACAAACAACCCAATCAACAAATGGGCCAAGGACCTGAACAGACACTTCACAGAGGAGGACATACAGTCAATCAACAAGTACATGAAAAAATGCTCAACATCTCTAGCTGTCAGAGAAATGCAAATCAAAACCACCCTAAGATACCATCTCACTCCAGTAAGATTGGCAGCCATTAGGAAGTCAAACAACAACAAGTGCTGGCGAGGATGTGGGGAAAAGGGTACACTTGTACATTGCTGGTGGGACTGCAGATTGGTGCAGCCAATTTGGAAAGCAGTATGGAGATTTCTTGGAAAGCTGGGAATGGAGCCACCATTTGACCCAGCTATTCCCCTTCTTGGTCTATTCCCTAAAGACCTAAAAAGAGCATGCTACAGGGACACTGTTACATCGATGTTCATAGCAGCACAGTTCACAATAGCAAGACTGTGGAACCAACCTAGATGCCCTTCATTAGACGAATGGATAAAAAAAATGTGGCATTTATACACAATGGAGTATTACTCTGCATTAAAAAATGACAAAATCATAGAATTTACAGGGAAATGGATGGCATTAGAGCAGATTATGCTAAGTGAAGCTAGCCAATCCCTAAAAAACAAATGCCAAATGTCTTCTTTGATATAAGGAAAGTAACTAAGAACAGAGTAGGGACGAAGAACAGGAGAAGAAGATTAACATTTAACAGGGATGAGAGGTGGGAGGGAAAGGGAGAGAGAAGGTAAATTGCACGGTAATGGAAGGAGACCCTCAGGGTTATACAGTGGAGGGGGTAGAGAGAGAGGAGGGGAGGGGAGGGGAGAGGTGGGGAGGGGGGAGGGTGGATGATGGGAAAGGCAGCGGAGCACAACAGACACTAGTATGGCAATTTGTAAATCAATGGATGTGTAACTGATGTGAATCTGCAATCTGTGTATGGGGTGAAGGTGGGAGTTCATAACCCACTAGAATCAAAGTGTGGAATATGATATGTCAAGAAATTTGTAATGTTTTGAACAACCCACAATAAAAAATTAAAAAAAAAAAAAAAAAAAAAAAGAATATATGGGGCTGAGACTGTGGCTCAGAGGTAGAACGCTTCCCTAGCATGTGTGAGGCACTGGGTTCAATCCTTAGCACCACATAAAAATAAATAAATAAAATAAAGGCATTCTGTCCATCTATAACTACACAAAACTTAAAATAAAAGAATATATGGGTGCATGGAATTTATTCTGTAGCCAAGTAAGTCAACAAAAGCTATATTACTTATATAAGAGCTAATGAACAGGCTTTGAGAAAACAGCCCCTAGGAGGGAGGAACCCTGGATTAAGACCTTTCCAAAGCATCCACATTGACTATACTGAAATGCCCAAAATAGACCATTTAAAATCCTTGTTGATAATAGTGGATCATTTTACCAATTGGGTAGAAGCTATCCCCCTGCCCAGTACTAATGCCAACAATGTGACCAAGGTCTTATCGGAATCTATAATCCCTCAGTTTGGTTTGATAGAAAAAATTGATTCAGATAATGGAAGCCACTTTAGGGTAACCATTATTAAAGAACGCATGACAATATTAAACATAAAATGGGAATATCACATTCGCTGGTACCCACCTTACTCAGGAAAGGTGGAAAAAATGATCCAAACTCTAAAGAGACAAATCACTAAGTTAATATTAGGAACAAAACTCCCCTGGACTAAGTGCCTCCCCATTGCTCTTCTTCAAATTAGAATGGCTCCATGAAAAGATGTAGGGTTAACCCCATATGAAGTGTTGTATGGGTTACCATATTTAGGAAAAACAATGGGTTTCCCCACCTTTGAAACAAAGGATCAATTTCTGAAAAATTGTATATTAGGTCTGTCTTCTACTTTATCATCCCTGCAATAACAGAGCCTCCTGGCATAGATACCACTTCTGGAATTCCCTGTACACCCACATTGACCAGGTGACTACATCCTGATCCAAGTTTAGATGGAAAACAAACTGGTCCCTGCTTGGGATGGGCCCTAGGAAGTCCTGCTCACGACTGATCCAGCTCTTCAGACCACAGAGCCAGGTTGTCCTCACTACACATGAGTAAAGGGAGCCTCCTCACCTTTTAATAGGGAGGAACACTGGTCCTCAGTCCAATATCTAGATTCCACCAAATTTGCTGTGAAAAGACTCTAATAATGTCCATAGTGATATGGAAAATGGCATCCTATAACTTGATCATTAATGTAATCCAGACTACCTCCCCTCTGGTTGTTACATTGGATGCCTGTGGAGATTTACACATTCAGGGGCAATTATCTGGGACAAACAGATACTGTTATTCAGCATATTCTAGAGAAATAAATCTCTGGAAATATGTTACCAAGGTTATTTTAGAAGTAAAGGATTTACAACAAACTCTTAAAATAGATTTTGAGTACCCTGAGACCAATGCCTGGGTGGAAGGGTTTAAATATTCTGTTTACACATTAAATAAAAGCAAATTTTAACGCTTGTGCAAGTTAACACAAGCTCAAGTGGTCCCATTCCCACTTGGCTGGACCTCAGACCTCTGGCCATGAGTTGTATGATATCCCTCTTTCAGGAAAAAGAGGGGAAACAGCTTGGGGAAATAACTCTTGCAAGACCTTGTGGTTGTTGTTCTCAGCAGTTAAGGGCTAAAGATTCCAACTTCTTTCCCTTGGAACCACTCATACCTCTTGTCTCTCTTGGGGGCACAGAGGGAGGAACAATTTGCCTTCTTGGGAAATACATCTGGATGCAATTAAAGTTGGTCCTTTGAGGAGATATCTAATCAAAAAGCACTTGCTATAGGCACAGCCAGTGTCTGGTGGTATTGTGGAGGGCTGTTACTTGAGACCTTATCTATCTGACAATTGGAATAGAACCTGAACTTTTATTCAATTGGCTATCCCTTTCCCCCAGCATTTCTCAGATCAAAGCAATCCCAGTTCTTTGAGAAGAAGAGAGATCTCTCTTCCCTGGGGTCACTTCCTTGAGAGGTTGGTTCCTAATGAGTTCAAAGACGGAAATCAGACAACAGCAAGTTTTGAAACAATTTTCTTTTGGTGGTCTTCTATAAATAAGAGGGTAAATTGGATTAATTACATTGATTATTATCAACAAAGGGTTATTATACAAGAGAATTTCTCAAAGAAATTACAAAAAATAGATGCTACTAATAGGATGATATGGAAAGAACTAATCACATTTATTATTATTGCATTGATTGTTGAATTGGGAGTAATGACTTACGGTTAGATATTGCCCAATTCCATGTATGGGAGGACTTGTTCAACCATTGACAGAGTTCTCACCAAACAAAGTCTAGTCATATATCAAAATAACCTTCCTATGTTAGATACAGTTCAACATGAAAGTCAAAAGATGTCATCCAAATTTGAAGAAAAGGATTTAGATGGATCATATAAGAGGGGGAAACTGTAAGATTTATGTTTTCTTTTCTATCAAAGTTAAACCTGTAATGCAACACAGGCGTGTTTACAGTAACTTGGAGGTTTCAAGGGTATGAAAGAGCCATCTTAAGTTAGAGAACCATGTGGTCAAAATGGAGCCATCTTAAATGAGAGAATCATGTAAGCAGAAGAGAGTCATCTTAAATTTGGGGATCATATGACCAGAATGGAGCCATTTTTAAAATTTTCTAACAGGTGCCCGATCACACTGTAGCCCTTTTCAGTGCCACCTATTTTTAAAATTAGCTAATCGAGTAATTGTATACTCCCACCCCAACTCTTCCCATCCGTTGCCAGGGGCAGCACCTCTGCTGCCCGCCCAGGGGTTGCATTGCGGGTTGGATCCCCTTTGGAGCGCACCCTTCTGCAGAAGTGCATTTGCGCCTTTTGGACCCACTTACGATTGATTGATTTCTTGTGGTTGTTATTTCTAACATTACCAAGGGCGAACAGGCTGTGTGTTTTCAGTCTGTTAGGTATTTATTGATATGCCAAGGTCTTAACCCACGCGTTATTTTGTCCCAATTTTAGAGACTCATATGCAGCACACTCTTCTACAGGACCGCACCTAGCACCACACCACGAAGCAGCCTTCCCGGGTACTTCTCGCCCGGCAACTGCAGTGGGTGCAGAGCGCTGATGGGCGCGGAGTGTCCACAAGGACAAAACTCAAAGAGGCTGACGTGGCTTCGGAGCAGACACGCGAAGGGGACACTTTGGGCCCCGTTTCCCCGCTTCTACCTGGTGCTATAGGCAAAGAGTCCAGAGGCAGGTAGCCTCAACAGCGAAGGGAGGGTCTCAACTATTTCTAGACTCTGGGTAGAGACCACTCACACTATCAGCCTCCTTTATCGCGCTTCCCGGGTCCCGCCCTCGGGATGGATCGCAAGAGCCACAGTCCGCACAGTCCCGCCCGCACCTCGTCCCCGCCCGGCCCGGGCGGTTGTTGTGTACAAGTTCTCCGGGTGCGGTCTCCAGCCCGGGAAGATGTTGGCTGCGGCTGCAGCAGCTGAGACGATGGCAGCGCCTGCGGGCAGCAAGAGATGGAGGCAGCGGGACCCGGACGTAACCGGGACCGGGAGACTGAGGTCTGGGTTCGGTCTCCCAAGGCTCCTGGTGGTGCTCCCGCCGCTGCTGCTGCTCCTGCTGCTCCCGCTGTTGCTACTCTTGCTGCTGCCCCGAGAGGCTGGGGCGGCGGCGGCGACAGGATCAGGCTCACTTGTATCCGAGGCCAAGAAATGTGATCAGCCCTGTGTCAACCGCGGCCGCTGTGACCCTGGCACCGGCCAGTGCATCTGCCCCGCCGGCTGGGTGGGCGAGCAATGCCAGCACTGCGGGGGCCGCCTCAAGTGAGTGGGGATGGTGTTGGAGGGTGGGGCGTGGTGGGGAGACTGGGGGCGAGAGGTGCTTAAGACTCCTACAGCCCAGAGGTGGATGCGGGACAGAAAGTCGGGAGAGGGGGTGCCCCAGCTCCATTTGATGGTCATTTGCTTCCGGGAAGATCACTATCTCTGGCTTGTTTTTTTCCTGTGGCGGAAGGTGAAAAGGTGCAAGGCAGTAGTGGTGGTGCCCCCAAAGTTTTTGGGTGCTGTGGGTTAAATTGGAAGAATGCTTTGGATTCCAAAGACTATCAGAGCTAGTTTTGGAAACAGCCTATTTTTTAAAAAATTTCTTTGGTTAGAGGTGGACACAACGTCATTATTTTACTTTATGTGGTGCTGAGGATCGAACCCAGTGCCCCACGCATGCTAGGCGAGTGCTTTGCCTCTGAGCCCCAGCCCCAGCCCAACAGCCTATTTTTGATAAATGAGATATCAAGAAAAAGGTGAGTGAGCCAGTTCTTAACCAAATACTTCATTTGAACCTTCCCTTTTTCTCTAGATCCTAATAAGTTCCCCAACTGCGGAGGTGTGGGATGCTCTGAGGAAGCGAGGCCCCTGGAGTGATGTATTGGTGGAGATATAAAGGAAAGGGTAGGCGTGAGATTTTAGGGATAGAAGACTAAGTGGTTGTTGACTGAAGGAAAGTGAAGAAGCTAGCCTTTGGAAGCTCACTGGCCAATGGCATATTAGAACAGGGTCTGTCCTGGAGAGGGGATGGAAAGCTGTTCCTGTTTACTTTGGTTTCTGAACATATGGAGTTCCTGCTGCCGCAGTCTGGCTGGGCACAAATGCCGCAGTCTGGCTGGGCACACAATCACGAGCCACCACACAGCTTGTAGATTCAAACAGCAACTCTTTATTCCCGAACTCACACCAGCCGTCTACAATCACGTTTTGGGGAAATCCACGTTCTCTGCCCAAATCCACCTCCACTGGGCTTCTATCTCCAAAATATACTGTCTGAATCCCGTGAGAACTCAAGGGGAACTCAGGCAGCAGGATACGCCCTATTCCCAGCAGGAATAATCTTAAACCTTAAACCTGGAACCTAAACTGGGAACGCCCTAAACAAGATTATCTTAAAACCGGGAACACCCTAATCTGCCTTGGTCCTTGAGCAAGGTTAAGTACATTCAATGTCACTGCAACATGGGGTACGCTGGCAAGGAAATTGTCATACTTACTTGGCTAATGGCTCCCAGCATCTCCCCCCTTCTGATTAATTAAACAACAAGCAATGTGGCTTAAGGACCGTGCCTGGTAGGTTGTCCAATTCAACATATGGTTCTTACCCGTCATCGGAAAACTGACCTTTAGGCGTCAGCCTCCTGTCTTAGGTTGATACCACTGCAATTGAATCATACCCGTCACTGACTACCGGTCCAGCATAAGCCATTGGCCCCCAAATTTTAGACCATCACTAGCAGAAGGGAGGAGGATACAGAAATGCCACGACACCAAGCCAATTGACGGCTCCTTGGGAAAAATTGCATCACTAGTGACACCATCAGCAAAGATATGCCAGCATTACCACAATTCACTGCACCAAACGATAGTTACATAGTCCAGGCAAGTTCTGCAAGCAGTTCAAAGCAGAGGAATCTATCAATATGTCCATTTCCTCCCCAAAATCTGTCTCCTCCCAAAGTAAGTTGACTCTTTGATTGAGCATTACTTGTTGAGTTTTTCACCGGCACTGGGATGGAGATAGGAATTCTGGCAATGATGCTAAAGAGACATTATCCTGAAAAGAATTATTAAATATAATGAAAAGGAAAGGTGAAAGTAAACAAACAGATCTGTTAACCTACTTTAAAAACAATCCTTAACAGCTTTTTACCTAATTTAAATTAGTAAACAAACAGATCTGTTAACCACCTTTAAAAACAATCCTTAACAGCTGTTTACATAATTTAAATTAAACCATTTAAATCACGTGAATAAAAAATAATAATAATTCGGATCCATTTTTTCATGAGCGCTCCTCATATAAGAAATATGGCCATACGCACATACAGACATACAACACAAAACACAAGAGTGTACACAAACGTACAACACATAAGAAAATAGTAAAGGCCTTGTAGCTTTACCTAGGTGAAATCTCCATTGCAATGTTTAAAAACTCCACAGTCAAAAAATAAAACTGATCAGAAAAACATTAACCTAGGTTTGTATGAGCTCAAAAAATAAAAATAGAACTTCATGTTATGGGGAAAACCAATAATAAAATAGCTATTGAAAAAAGCATCCTGGTTAATCACTGTCGCAGATGTAAGAATGGCCAAGCTGGAGTTCTGGATATCAGCTGTTATGGATTTGAGTCAAATCATCTTCTTTTCGATCTGTAGAAACTGTTTTAGTTAATCTCTCTGGAATCCAAATGGGCTGCTGTTCTCCCTGTGGAAAAACACAAACAGACCCCTGACTCCAGACAATCACTGGGTCAGGACCTTTCCATTGTCCTGTTAGAATATCTTTCCAAAGTACTTTAGGCTTATGTACATTTTTTGGATACATGTGTCTTTCCGCAGCACTAAGTTCTGAAGAATCCAAATTTAAAAAGTTTAGAGTAAAAAGGGTTATTTTAAGTTTATCTTTGGGGCATATATACCCCTTAAAGATCATCTTCTAGTTTTCCTTTAAGGTTAGTACATTCACCCTTAGTTGCTTTTTTTCCTCCTAGTTTTTTTTCTTCCTATTTTGTGGGTTTAAAATTCTTATCTTCCTACATCTTTTCTATCTTCCTACATCTTCTTTATCTTTTTTCTTTTTAACTTTCTATACTTCTGTGTTTAAAGTTTTTCACTTTAAATTTTTGATCTTTATCTAAATATCTTTTATCCTATTATCTTCCCATTTTTTTTAAGTAATGCTTTTAAGATTAACTAGGCTTTAAATGATGCAATAAAGCAATCTTTTTTCCGCCATGAAGGTATCTCGACCACCTTCAATTTAACCTTTTAAAGCCTTTTAATTATCATCTATACTGTACTTTTAAATGTACTTTTTCACCACCTACAGCTTCACTCTTTTAAACGAGGCTTAGATTCTGTTTAAATCGCTTCAATGTTAGTTTACATGGCTGCCCTTCAACCAAAGGCTTTTTTTTTTAACTCCATAGAGAAGCTCTGTCTCAATCTGCCATGTACAAATACCTTTTTCTTCTTTCTTCCTTTCTCAAGCTTTTAAAGTAAGTCTAGTTTCCTCAAAATCTTTTTAAATGGCATTTTACAACTTTTTACTTTACCACACAGAGATTATCTTATCTAGAAACATTTCTTTTTCCTTTAACCTTTTATATTAAAATATATTTCCACATCTTGAATCTTTTTCTATTTTTAACCGTTAACCCTTTTTATAAATTCACATTTTGAGACAACTCTTATAAAATTTCTGATTTGGACAAATTACTCCACTTTAATAAGATGAAAGACTTTCATGTTTTTTATGATACTATAACACTATAATTGAAACCCAACTGAAAATTTTTCTACTCTTTGTATATAAATTACACATGATAGAATCTTAACTCTTAGTAACCTTGTTTTAGCAAAGACACAGACACAAAGCAATATTAAACATTTTTCCATTTACCAATTTATGAAAACACACATAATGTTTAAATATATTACCTTATGGGACTTAATAAGTAAAGAGTGGTTGCTGTTTCAACATTTTAGCTTTGTAAATTAATCAGATGTCTGTAAAAACCAAGATCTTAGACAAATGTAGTAAACAGAACTAGTCATCTCTTTCTTGAAGAAAAATCCTTCTACAGGATACCATGATGGTCCCATTGATATACTTAATAACTTGTCTTTAAAAAGCCATGGGCTACATTTTTGTATTGTATCAACATATGCCCTAATTGTTCTTGGTCTCACTGGGGTGCCTCCTTCCTCTAACAATTTATCTTGCTCGGAGGCGAACAACTTCAAACCTTGAGTCAACCATTTTCCCCAGTTTGCCTGAGAAAGTTCTAAGAACAGGCAACTTGAAATAAAAACAAAATAAATCAAAACAATAACACATTGTTTTTTGAAATGTTCACCCATTCTTTCTCTCTTCCTCAAGGGTGAGAAATTTCACTTACCTCCAAGCTTCAGAAGTTCCCCGTACGGGCCACCAAATGCCGCAGTCTGGCTGGGCACAAATGCCGCAGTCTGGCTGGGCACACAATCACGAGCCACCACACAGCTTGTAGATTCAAACAGCAACTCTTTATTCCCGAACTCACACCAGCCGTCTACAATCACGTTTTGGGGAAATCCACGTTCTCTGCCCAAATCCACCTCCACTGGGCTTCTATCTCCAAAATATACTGTCTGAATCCCGTGAGAACTCAAGGGGAACTCAGGCAGCAGGATACGCCCTATTCCCAGCAGGAATAATCTTAAACCTTAAACCTGGAACCTAAACTGGGAACGCCCTAAACAAGATTATCTTAAAACCGGGAACACCCTAATCTGCCTTGGTCCTTGAGCAAGGTTAAGTACATTCAATGTCACTGCAACATGGGGTACGCTGGCAAGGAAATTGTCATACTTACTTGGCTAATGGCTCCCAGCACCTGCATTGGCTTGGATCGAGGCAGTACCCCTTGAAAGATCACTCACTAATTAATTAACAGTTGTGTATTATTTGTTTCAGTTGTGCAAGGATTTCTGGATATGACACACAAATAGAGTAGTCAGACTTTGGCCTAGTCCCCAAGGAGTTTGGAAATAGAAAGAGGAAGATCCATACATAAAAGTCATGAGAACTATAGTCATTCAAGCTTTTGGCAGCTATTTACTGAATACTTTCCCCATCTGACCTGAGGGAGTAAAGAACTGTGGTGAGCAAGACAGGGTTCTGCTCTCAAGGACCTTCCATTTTAATATGGATGACAAGCAGTTAACAAGTAAATAAACAAGTGAAAGAAATGACAAGGTTATTTCAGCTCCTGGTGAATGTTGTCACCA